ATCCGGGCATGCACTGCGGTCTCAAGAGGAAACGCAGCTTTTTGATATAAAGTTTTTCTTGTTCCCGAATACAAATATTTTTTAAAGTATTTGTTCGAAATAAGTATTCGTAAAAAACACAATATTTGTGCCTTTCCGAATACCGTATTCGGGTTCGGCTCCACCCCTAATATATATATATATATATATAGAGAGAGAGAGAGAGAGATAGAGAGAGAGAGAGACGCTCTGCTCATACAGATGCTGTTTTGCTCTTGTTCTCTAACAGGTTAAAGAACTTACCGTTCACTTTCACAAAACTGAAGGATCTCGCTGCACTGTGGTTATCAGACAATCAGGTGTGTTTGTATGTATCTACTGTCTCCAGGGCGTTATTTTATGCTCCTATGATAGTTTTCATTATAAAATAGTGTTTATTATAAAATCTATATTGTATAATACACTGTCTCATATCGCTCTTACTGTATGTAAGTTTGCGCCTTTTACTATATTAGTCCTCTTGGATGCACCTTACCCGTCATTTTACCTCTCTCATTATCGCATATGTGTTTATTACTTATTGTTTATGTATTTATTTCTCACATGTACTTGTCATAAATGCTCCTGCTGTATATGTTGCATTGTGTTTGGCGCTCTGCACATAAGAATTCCACTCACTTTGTATGTTTGTATAAACTGTAATGTGACAGTAAACCTGAATATGAATCTAAAAGCAGGTATTTGAATGAACTATCCATGGAAACCACCCAAAAATGATTACAGCTCACATGCATGCATCAGAGTGTGTGAATGATTTCCCTTATATAGGCATGGCAGCTCTTGCTGTAACGCAAAGCACTGCATCGCATAAATGTGACTTGTGATCCCTTTGTGCCTTTGCAGTCCAAAGCCCTTATCCCCCTTCAGACGGAGGCACACCCAGAGACCAAGCAGAGGGTCCTCACCAATTACATGTTTCCTCAGCAGCCGCGCCATGATGAAGGTTGACCTACAGTGCCCCCTGTTGGCTCTCGTGTTGTGACAGACAGCCACTCATCACCAGGAGCAAGACAGAGCATTCACATTTGGGGTTGAGGGTCAAACCCAGGCTCTTTCATATGGAGTTATACCTGTACAGTAGAGCTGTGACGTATTTACATCTTCGGAGCTCTAGGTTGCTCTACACAGAGCCTGGGGGAAGAAGCAGGTGGTGAAACAGACCGGCATGCCAGGGGTCTAGGTGACATCAGCTTTAGCTGCTGATTTCTGTAGAGGTTTAGCCCTGTTTCGGGAACGTTAAACAAAATACAGCATTTTCCAGACTGCGAGCGGCAGATGTTTAAGCCAGTATCTTTCAATCTAGTCCTCAGAGATCCTGGACAGTCCACGTTTTTGCTCCTTCCCAGCTCCCGGAGGGAGCAAAAATGAGGACTGTCTAGCAAGGGAGCTGGAAGGGAGCGAAAACATGCGCCATCTGGGGGTCCCAAGAAACACAATTTGGTTTGAGCACTCATAGTAAAACTGCATTTAGACAACGTATGTAGAGTGTTTTTTTAAAAAAAAAAAAAAAAAAACTGAAGATACAATACATTGTAAACCATTTAAAAGAAGAAAAATAACTTTAAACATCTGTTCTATGGCCGCCTTCAACTCTTAAAAATTGGAGTTACTGACCAATGTGACCAGTTTGGTTAAAATGACACATAGGTTCTGGTAGGCATTTAATCTTGATATCTATAAATGTCCCAGAGCTATCCAAAATATTAAAGTAATTTTAATAGTATGAAAATTAAATCATTGAGTGTTTTAAGGATGATTAGACCATCAATAGTTAAGTGCAGATTGGCATGGTGAATAGAAACACCAGTACCAGTGTTCGCTCTGATGGTGCCCCTTTCTGTCTCATACAGATTACCAGTCAGACAGCGACAGCTTTAACCCCACCCTGTGGGAGGAGCAGAGGCAGCAGCGAATGACAGTGGCCTTTGAATTTGAGGAGAAGAAGGATGATGAGGACAGCTCCGGCAAAGTCAAGGTAGTCACATTGCACAGTTTCACACTGTGGCCACCACTGTCCAGTGTTTGTCTAGCGCACTGCCCTTTCACAGCTGGGTTTCACGATGGAGGGATTACTGAGGATGAAGAGAAGAGACTCATATTGGTGATGACCTTCAAAACAACATCAATATTCATAATAGTGATTAGACGCAGTAGCATTTGCTACATGCAACACGCAGCACAAGACCAAAGCCTGGATGTGCAGTTATGATGAAAACTCTCGTCAGGCCGCTTAGATGGGAATCCGTCTCAGCAGGAGCCCTTGGTGCAGGCTCTCGCTGTCATGAGTATTGGCTTCTTAGGAGCATTGACTTTTTTAAATTAATGCGTTACATGCAAAGCCCCCTTATGAGCTGGGAAAGTACATCTGTTTCGTTGGAAGGTTGTTATATAGTGCAGACCACTGCCACAACGGTCCCTCCAGATTACCTCTCTTTTTTTAATGAGAGTTTCATCATCCTTATCAGATGCTCTTGGGTTAATGTTGGGGGGATGTGGTTTTGCATGTTAAGCCTCTATACTTGTGATCAGAAAGTTGCCGGTTCAAATCCCACACCTAGCAGAGTGATGTCATCATTGGGCCCTTGAGCAAGGCCCTTACCCTCCAATTCCTGCCAAGACACTGGCTGACCCAGCACTTTGACCCCTACTTTGTCATGTTGCTTTAGACAAAACTGTATGCAAAATAAATGTAAAAATATGCAAACCGAGTTCAACCTGTCACACAGAGCCCACAAGAAAGCTTAATATCTCATGCATAAGTATTATGTTTTTTCTTGTATTCTGAAGCTGGCCGGTAAACAGGCTTGTAGTATCGTAGAATATTTATATTGAGTAAATTTTCATTGAGACAGAAAATCCTTAAAAAATTGGAAGCATGGGCAAGGACTTTGTTTTTAATATTCCTTAGTGTTTAAATTTCTGTGAGAATAACGATAGCTGAAGACTATGTTACATGGTACTGTCAGGCTTAGATAGGGATAATTACAGGCAAAGGGGACGCCTACCCTTATATAAGGATTTAGAAACAGCACAGATACCTTATTTATACCGATAACCTTGAAAAATAATTGCATGTTAAGTCAAGAGCTGCGCTAAGTACCTGTTCTCAGGTAAAGTGTATTAATGAGCATCCCCAATCCCACGGGCGTTAGTCAGGGCTGCATGATGAGCAGTGGCGGGGCGGGCATTCTCGCCGTCTTCACGCTGTGTACCTCCACTCAGGTGGAGATCAATCTGAAGCGCTACCCTACCCCTTACCCAGAAGACCTGAAAAACATGGTGAAGTCAGTGCAGAACTTGGTGGGAAAGACTAGTCATGCACTGAGCACTGAGAAGTGCTCCTCTGGGACCAACATGGAGCACCATGCCGTGGACAAGTATGAAGCCAAGTGGCCCATTGCACCTAAGGAGGTAACGGCTCAGGACACCGCTAGGCAGGGGAATCATGCGTGTGATGCACGGATGACTGATCTCCATAGCTAGTGCTCTGCTAGTTGTAGCTTATGACATGTCTACCAAGAGCTTTAAAACCAGAATGGAAATCTGAACATTATCTATTTGTGGCAGTCTGTGGTCGAGCTTGACATCTGTTCCTTCTAAAATCAGGTGATGGATAGAGATGCCAAAGACTTCCCGAAAAGTCAGATGACAGAGCAGGGTAACATCCATAACTCTGTCATGGAGATCCCAAAGCGCAAGGAGAAGGAGGATTTGACTGAAAGCTCAGAGGTACTATTCCCATGTAATTGCAGATGATATTAGGTCAGTGTCACTTGTCAAGTCCATAAAATAGAAAAGCGATAATAAATTAGCAGTGCGTCTAAGAAACGGTATGTGAGTTTTATTGATAATTTTTTCATTATATCTTTACCCCAAAGTAATGGAGTAAACACCAAACCCTACAGAATTGGCTTGAAATTATAAGATGTATTGAAGGTGTGTTAGTGGAGAATGTATAATGGCCTCATTTGTATTCTGGGAATGAGTATTTTTTTTTATACTAGATAGATGTGCCATGTCAGGGGATGATACGTCAGTGTTAAAGCAGCTATTCAGTGCTGCTCTGCAGCTCAGCAGGCATTTCTGAGGGTGTGTAATTGAAGCTGGGATTTTGTAGGTGAAACCTGCAGAGATCAGGAGAACCTTTCATCTCTCAAATGCTCTGACCGCCTGATGGCTACATTGTAAGCATTCCTGATGTGACTGGCCATTAGTTTATTTTCTCCTCTGTCTGACTGTATAGTGGTACCTCGGTTCTCGAACTTAATGCGTTCCGGACTCTGGATCGAATCCTAAAAAGTTCGAGTTCTGATCAAATTTTCCCATAAGAATTAATAGAAAACCATTTAATTGGTTCCCGGCCCCCAAAAATTACACCTAAATATGTTTTTTTTTGTTTTTTAGCATTTAAACACAAAATGAACAGGTTAAAACAAGAAGAGCATTTTTTTCTTAATGGCTTCCAAAACCATGAAGATCTTATCCCAACATTACCCCTGTCCTGCCCCGATCGTCCACTCCGTCTGTGTGCCACACCCCCTCGTTAACCTCGTGTGGGATCCCCATGTGATCAGCTGTTTCTGGTTGTTGTCATTAGTCCTCTGTATTAAGTCCGTGTTTCAGTTTGTTTCCCCAGTCCGGTCATTGGGTGCGTTCGACTTGCTTACAGCGCTGGCTTAAAGCAAGGCATTCTGATCCTGACGCAATGCATTACGGTTAGATGCATTGGCACCTCTCACCCGGCTGCACAAACTGGAACCGCCTCCGTGACGACACACCTTTGCCCTTATTGGCTGAAGAGTTTAGTTACACGTATGACGTTTGTATCCCAGGCAGTTCCGATGTGTAATCTGCTATTTCTCCCGAATATCACATAAAGCAGTAAGAACTGGTTTTCAGTTAATTTACCTGGTAAAATAAAGTTTAAATAAATGACATAAATACTCTAATAGTACACGTAAGTTAGTGGTTTATTTATTGTTAGTTACTGTTATGTTGCGCCGCTTTATTTGGTTAATCGTCCAGTCTGTGAAGAAGGCATTCAAGTAAGAATTGCTTAGTAGTATGACTCATTTCCTGGCGCGTACAATTTATATTAGGTCAGCGTTCACGATTCGACTACTGATTTTCAGATCAAGTTCTAGGTCAAACTGGTTTGTTCGACTTTCAAGAAATTCGAGTTCTAGTGAGTTCGAGAACCGAGGTACCACTGTACTTTATAGGATGCCTAATACTTCTTAATATATCAACATTCACATAAAAGAAATGTATTTGCTAAAGGAATGGCAGCTGGTGTTAAAATGCATCATTCATGCATCATTCAACCATCCACCTAACTAGAGAGTGCATGGAACAGTTTCTATAACAGTAATGTAAAATAAGTGTTGTTTAATATTTCTATATGTGCTTTCTAATATTTGCCATACTCTTCTGAAGATGACTGGGGACATTAAAGGGTTATTATTAATAGTAGTAGTAGTAGTAGTAATAGTAGTAGTAGTAATAGTAGTAGTAGTAATAGTAGTAGAAGTAGTAGTAGTAGTATTGTTTTTTGCTGTGCTGTTAGCGTTCCTGTTGTTTTGCTGACATTGATGAAGTTTTAAAGTCCAGAGCTGTGGCCCAGATGTATTGTACAGTCTATAATGCTTATAATGGCCCGGGATGGATGTACAGATATTTGAGAGATATAGTACAGTATGCTGAAGATATCTTGCAAACATGCTGGTCTATTTAGTTGAGGAGTGTTTATTGCGGTCAAGAGGAGGCAGCTGGAAACAGCTGGGTCAGATTCACTGTCCTGCAGCGTCTGGGCCCCTCACCAGCCCTAGAGGATGGTCACTTTCTGAAAGTCCTAGCGAGTTTATCAATAAGCTTCCCAGTAGCATTCATTTCCATTCATTTAAGATGAAAAGCTCACCTCCACCTACACAAAGCCTCACTGTATGGAGTATCCGGCTGCACTCTCCGCAGACCAAACGAAATGTCTGGCCTGTCTCTCTTTTCATCGCCACATGAGTTTGTGTTATGCTTTTTCTCCCCAAGCCACACTGAAAGTGACCCCCCCCCCCCCAAAAAAAAAAAATGCTGGAACAAGATTGGGGTTTGGGGAAAGGATTGCCATTACACATCCTTCTAAATATCACACATTTTGCTTTCTAATTCCATGGATTTCCTTCCCATTGTTTGTTTGTTTGTTTGTTTGTTTGTGTTTCTTTCTGTGTTTGTCTGTTTGTTTTGATTAGATTTCTTTTCACCGCGTCGATACCAAGCTGCCACAGCCAGAGAACATGAACCTGTCCGTAACATCTTCCTGTTTCTGCCTCATAGTAAGTGGCTGTCAAATCAGACGACCCAGATTCACGCCTTGGATTACAGCAGATTCAGCCTTTTCAACCTCAGAGAATCACTGCACTGTTTGGCTGCTATACATGGTTTTAAATGAAATGCTAATGAGTTCTAGACAGGAGGTGTTAGGGGAAAACAAGTAGCTTGGAAATGGACTGTCTGAAACCTCAAATTAGATTAACACTTTTGCGTCAGCATACTGATCTTATCAAACTTGCCTGTTGCTTTCACACCTTCCATTGACAGTCAGGCCAGTGTGTGACGCCTTTATGATTACAGTAGTCTCTCCGGTTCCACGAGTGATACGATAATATAAGAACCATCTGCAGAACCCGTATATAACATGATTTTCCTGTACTTACACATGGTAAAGATGAATTACACTGTGAGACATTACCAACATTAAATACAGTAATAGTAAAGTACAATATACATTATTTTACTGTACTGTACTGTCTATGGAATGAAAGGGATTCTGAGGTTTTAGCCTCATTCTCATGAGACGTTATAGCAATGAAAAAATATTATGTATCAAGGGATGACGAAGCAATGACAGTCATGCTTTTTATACCCCTCAAAGGCCGAAGGAACAATGAAAATACATAGGCTACTGTTACACATTTTACAATTTTTTGGACCATGGTAACTGAAACCGTGGATACTACTGTACTAGACAGCACATTAAATATCAGCCCATCTTTGAGGAGGAAAAGGTACAGTGATGTAGCCTAAGGGTTCTCCACATGTGAGTGTTTCAGAAAGAAGCAGCTCACAGAAAAACGGCTTCCTATAGGAGAGCTGCTGGTTTGATCACAGCGCCACCAGGTGAAGTAATGTTGATGCAAGCTCCATTTTCTGTTGAGCCGGAAATGCAATGCATTTTCCCTAGTGAACCTAATGGAATAGCCAAGTCTACATTTAGTGCAATGAGAACTATAGGTTAATGTATAAAAACGCATGTAATGGAATTCAAATGTTTTATATAGCAGGTATAAAGTCGATTGAAAAGTTCTTGGTTGATTTTGTATGGCGTACAAGCATGTAGCACTGAAGTTGGTATGCAGTCCTCTTGACGTAACACCAGGGTATGGAGTTGTGAAATCAGAGGAGAGCACTTCTGTGTACAAAATGACCTGCATTATTAAGAGAGAAATGTAATGGTCTGAAGACGTACTTCAGACTTGTTTCTCAGGTGACTTTTTTTATCATTGGTCACATGCTGTAGGTGACACAGGGATTACACCATTTCAAAGAGCACTAATATGAAGTAACTATTGGACTGCAGATGACTGTTGACCAGGAATAACAAGTCTCTGGGTTAGAGCAAGGATGCTAACCTATATGCAGTGAAACTAAGATACGTAGACATGTTTTCAATTCAAAATAAACATCTGCCACACAGTGCCAGTACATACATTTACGAACATCACTCTGTGACTGTGACTCTTTATACTCAACTGGTTGACTGAAACATAATCTTGGTCCGGATTTGTACTCTCTGGACCTGAAATCTCCACCTCTGCAAATTACTCTATATGTTTGAAAAATCCACCCATCTTCCAAACGCTGATCATGAGTAAGCTCACAGAGGCCCTGCAGTACGCCCTTGACAGGATGCCATACATATACAACCAAACACAAACGCAAGATGCGTTTCAAATTTTATTGTCACCTATTCGGGAAACACAGTGAAATTACTGTGCCAGGGGCGGCAGGTGGGGGCAAAGGACAGACAGCAGTGCTGTACAGGACAAGACAGTACAATGTAAGACAAAAAAATGTGATGATAAGCAGGGAATGAGGTGGCTATGCGGGACGCATCAATAGGTATCGGTGTAAAGTGCAGATTGGCAATTAGTTTAAGTGCAGTGTTCTTAGACACACACAGCAGTGCAGTGTTTTTAGGCACACACAGCAGTGCAGTGTTCTTAGACACACACAGCAGAGGTTTGGCTCAAACCC